AGGGGGGCTTTAGGTCTCATATAGGGCAGCTGGGGCCTATGGGGGATGTGGGGGTCATATAGGACTGGGGGGGGCTATATGGCAAGTATGGGGGGGCTATAGAACATAATGGGGCTCATATAGGGCTGGGGGAGCTATAGGGAGCCTCTGGGCTCATATAGGGTATGGGGGAGAGCTATAGGGCTCATATAGGGCTGGGAGGAGGGGCGGGGGGGTCACCTGTGGATCTCTATGGGGTGGTGTCACCCATGGGTCTCTATGGGGCAGGGTCACCCACGGGTCCATCCTGGTGGCTCCCCCAACTCAGCTTGGCCCTGTGGGGCCACCACAGAGCCACCACCATGGGGCCACCATGACCATGGGGCCACCACAGCCATAGGGCCACCAGCGAGGCCACCACGGCCATGGGGCCACCAATGGGGCCACTTGTGGGTCCCTCACGTCCCGTCCCCCCCCAACCACCACCCTGTGGTTTCTCTTCCCCTTTTGCAGAGGCCAAGGCCAAGGACAAGGCAGAACCGAAAGGGTGACAGGAAGCGCCTTGGTTTCCTCCTGCCCCACATCCTGTGTGGGACCGGCACCAATGGTCACCTGGGTGAGGGGGGGGTCTCTTTGTGCACCTTATGGGGGGCTCGGAAGGTCTCGCTTGGGGACAAGGTTCTCTGTTATCCCAGTGAGAACAACCCTGAGCAGATGCCTCCATGGTTGGCACGGATGGAGGCCTCCATGGCCCATGTAGACAATTCCTCCGTGGTTGACATGGATGGAGGCCTCCATGGTCCATGTGGTCCAACCTCCATGGTTGGAGTGGACGGTTCCTCCATGGTTGACATGGACAGAGGCCTCCACAGTCATTGCAGGCAGCTCCTCCATGGTCAGCATGGGCAGGTGCCTCCATGGTTGGTGCCCACACCATCTCCCTCCATCCTTTCCTGCCTATCATGGTCAAGAGGCCACTCCAGAGGGCACCTTCTCCGATGCTCAGAGACACTGGCCCCTTCTCCAACCACCCAACTGTGTCTCCCAATCCAGCACAGCCCCTCGGCACCTTCTGAGTCATCTCCTGGCAGAAACCAGGGACTCCGGCCTCTTCCTTACCCAGGAAACGGATGGAGAAGTTGCCGGCTGCCAAAGCAATAAATAGCAGAAGACAACCCAACTTCCCCAGCGTCCTCCTCACGGGTGGGTCCTACAGCCATGATGGCTCTTGGTCATGAGGGGACCCTTATTGTCCATGTGTGACCGTTCATCCTCCCCCCATACACGCTCCTGAGATGACTCTTAGTGTCTCCATATCCCTCAAACTCTAGGTGACCTTTGAGTCTCACCCCACACGTGATCTTGAGGTGACCCTTAGTGCCCGTGTGTCCCTCAACCCCTCGGTGTTCCCATGTCCCTCCATTTCCAGGTCACTCTTGATGCCCACCTGTCTCCCATTCCCAGGTGACCCTTATTGTCCTGGTGTCCCCTCAGGTCCAGGTGACCCTATGGTGCCAGCTGGTGCCCCCAGCACTAGGGGAACCACCCAACTCCGGACGAGCCAACAGAGAAGACCCGTCCCCACCATGTTTTTTTCATGACATTGGGACCTTCTCCCATCAAACTGTGCCAGGAAGTTCTCCCAGGACAACAAATCCAATGGGAACCTTCTCTAACGATGCCAACCCAGTCAGGGCATCAGGACGGACATGACCCCCTGGTGGAAAATCCTTTAATCCCGTTTCCCACCCGTCCACCGCAACCACAAATCAGTGATGGGTCAGTGTGGGGCAACAGCTCTGGTTAAGCTCAAATTTTACGAAATTGGGTTTAAAAAAGTGGTTTTAGGCTACACTTCCGACATTCTTATTGCTGCTGGCACCTGGGGGACACTCGGTGGCTGGGTGGCGCGTTGGTGGCCTCACTGTTGGGCACTGGGAGCAGGGACTGTGTCCTCTCCACTGCTCAGAACGGAGCTCCGTGGTTCTGACTCGACCATCTCCCGGTACTGCCTGGAATGAGAGGGAGTGTTGGGTGATGGAGACATGGGAAACGCTCCGGAATGGCCCACGGCATTTCCTGTGGGTGGAAAAGTCACCTGCGTCTCCACATCCAAAGTGCCACCATGATGGCCACGGCCACAAGCACCGCTACTGCCACTGAGAGTCCCACAATGAGCACGATGCCGGAATTCCCTGGAAAACACAAGGAAGAGCCACCCCGGAGCCACGTGTGGTGCCGCATCTGGCACCGCGTGTGCCACCGGTGTCCA